GCAGCATACACAAATATTTACCACATGGCAGTACAATATAGCAGCAACGACATATAAGGTGCAAGAGAAGATAAACTTCGGACAAAGATTTGGACAAAGAAGTCAGATTTGATGATTTCTCCCGTTGTTCACGTGAATTCTCGACACTTTTCCAAGCCTTTTTTCGTATTTATGATGAGTGCCTCTGCTGGCTCTGTCCCCCGCAGTGAGACCGCTGCATTAGGCCAGTTCGGGGTTAGACATCTCTGCAATGATAACAGGTCTAAATTACCAGCAAGATTCTTAATTATACCATCCCCTCAAGGCCGGTTAGCCAATTACAATTTGCAGTAATGGCCTGAAAAGGGGTGTCGCATTAGGTGTTGCTCAGAAACCTGCAGAGGTATTGATAGCAGCTCATTAATCACAACAGAGAAATGGCTGCTGCATTTCGTAGCTGTGTGTCTGGGGGAAAGGGGGTGTGTTGGAGAAACAAAGAAAAAGACCAGGGGAGACCGAACGTTCTCATCGGTAGCCCCCAGGCTCTGGAACGACCTGCCCCCTCATGTTAAATTGTCGCCCACTCTTGAAGCTTTTAAGTCCCGCCTAAAAACCCACCTCTTTTCCCTCGCTTACCAGTCAGTCTGACCTATGTCATACCTATTTGTATGCTTTTACTGTCTGTCCATAGCCTTTATGTGCCTTGTATTTATTCTTATGTGTGCTTTTTTATCTTTTCTTATGTGTGCCTTTTATCTATTCGTGTAATATTATATTTTATTATAATGTTATGTTCATTGTGAAGCACTTTGGCAAACCCTCTGTTTTTAAACTGTGCTATATAAATAAAGTGGATTGGATTGGATTGAAATAATGTGCATTGATTCAACTTGTGTGTGTGAAAAGAAAGACGAACTGAACGAACAAGACTTTGGTGTTGGCTGATATTCATACCATTAGGTTCTCATAACTCATCATTCATGTTAAGCTAGATACTGTTATACTTTGTTGAGCTGATGTGTAAGTATTTTGTATCGGACATTACCAATAGTTACTTTTTAATAATGGACTCATCTGCTGATTCATCTTGTCTCCGTTAGTTGCTTTATTTGTTTGGTTTGTAAACATCAAAAGATAATTAAAAAGGAAAGCAAGATAATAATCACACTTGTGAAGCTCGAACGACACATATTTTTGGATGAAAAATGACTTTTAGAATAGCAGCTTCTTTAGCTTAGTCCTCAGCCTGGAACTGATACCAGCCAGCAATATGTGAGATGTTGGAAAACAGTAACTCATTTGTGTGAAAAATCTTGAAAAATTGAAGGTTTTGCTTCAGGAACCAATTTAAGTTTAACGGTATTCTAGATCGGAAAAGATAATAACACACCAGACGAGCAGAAAGCAAATTCTGCATTATTTTCATTATTCTTTTTCAGTTTCAAGACAAGAACATCTCATCACTGTTAGGGATTCATTTTGTCTTATAGGAGTCTAACCTTTTCTGTGTGTTGACGTTTACGACCAACCCTAAGTCTGTTATCTGTCTTAAGGAATGGGAAGTCTCAGCTATTGTAGACATTACCAGTTTTATGACCGATCAACTCTCGGTCACAGAGCCTAAGAGTCAGATAAGTGATTCAGTGTCTCCAGGTGTTAACGCCCCATCCCCCAATATGGGGTTTAACTCTCTGTAAACTAGTTAAATGGTCTATCGAGAGAGATACTGGGCAGATTTGACATGGCAACCCACCAGTGCAGTCAGAACCTTTGACTGTGTGACTTGTGATGTGAATTTCTCCGGCCGATGCTTGTATTAAAGATCCGTGTCAAAGCTCCAACTCTCCTCGTGTCTCTCTGAGTCCTAACTCTCCATTGCTGCAGAAGTTTCCCTTACAATCACCACATTATAAGTTTCCCTAATACAAAAATACATCTCTGGCTTCTGATTGAATCACCATCTTTCTATTGATTTCAGGCTTTACATTTTTTTTTTTTCTTTGGTTTGTAGTTTTCAGAACATTGGGACCAAGTAAACAACATGGCGGCCAGATTGTAGGCATTTTAAATGTTTGTATTTGCCCCTAAATGTCTCTCTACATTATTGCTGCATAATAATTTAACTTCGCAATCGCAATATGGACTAATAGAATGTTAAAATCGCAGGAAGTACGATGTTTGTTAAAGGCTTATTATGTGTTAAAATATGTTGGAGTTGCAGAGATATACCAGCCTTAAAATCATATTCGACAAACTAGGCAAAAACGTATTTGTTTGGTACAGATTCTCCTGAGATTCTTTTTATTTTTCAATGATAGAGTTATTTGTAGGAAAAACAAGAATTATAATTTTTCAATGATAATGAGAGATTTGTAAGAATGATCAACCCTTCTTAAATCAACTATCATATTGAATTGCAATATCAGTCATGTATTGCAGCACTGCTTCACACATTTACACAGCTCACACAGAACATGCACACTATATACCCGTCCTACACACACACTTCAACACACACACACACCAACTGTTCAATCAGTCTGTCACGTTTCTCGGTTACTAAGCAACATCTCATCCACCAACTGTCAGAGGCTCTTTTCATATTAACTTTTATTGACAGAGACTCTCTCGAAGGAAATACGCTAGAGTCGGAAAGTAACTTATGGCTCACAGCCTCACACACAGATGTCCTCAAACATTCATAAAAAGATAATTATAAGCCACTTGAACACCTCAGATTAGGTTCGCTTTTAGTTCACGTTTCATTCACCGACTGACCCAATATTCATGGTGGATACAAATGCTGAAATGTTGCTGAGGTTTGCTGTGTTTCATCGGTTCTGCTACTTCTGTTTCTGGTCTGGACGGAGGTAAATTAAGGTCTTATTTATACGCTTTCTTTCATAAAGTCTAACGGCACTGCCCTTTCATTCAGTGTGATCCGGAAGGACAGGTGAAGTCTGGCAGATGTTCAAAAGTTACTCACCTGAAAGACTGAGACTTCTGAACTGTAAATAATCTCATTCCCTCACAGCCGCTGCACACACACTACCTCCATTCTTCTGGAAATGTCAAGGCCTTACCTGCTAATGATACAAAATTGCACGTTAGGAAATCTTTACTTGTACGTCCTTGATGCGTGTGTGAAAGTACACTTTGTCTTCCCTGTCTGGTTGCTTGGACACCGAGAGGATTGTGTTTTACAAAGATGTATGTGTGTGTGTTTTATCCTGTTTAAATATCTGTGTTGTGCATCCATGTGATTTTGGAACCAGTGCATCTTGTTCTGTGATTCCGTGAGGGAACGCTGGTGTGTGTCAGAGCAGGAGAGTGTGTGGAGACGCTGAGCAACAGCTAGGGCAGCATACGGACCGTGGGAGTGGAGCACAGAGGGAGTGAGCACCAGGGCCAGACCGTGTGTGTGTGTGTGGGATCGTGACTCGACAACCCCACACACACACACACACACACACACACACACACACACACACACACACACACACACACACACACACACACACACACACACACACACACACACACACTAATTTGGAAAAGTTACTCACATTTAATAGACAGCAGGTCCAAATCAAGTAAGAGTTTCCATCATGCACCTGCTTTTAAACTAAGGGGGATTCCGTCATTTCTCCTATTTTACTGTATTGATATTTTCCTACTGTTTTTATGGATATTGTTTTTGTTGTTTATGTTTATCTTTTATATATATTTTCGACACAAGTGTAATGCCTGTTTAGATGCTTCCGTGTCAGAGAATTTCCCAATTTAGGATGAATAAAATGGACTTACTTGAGCTCCTATTGGCTAGCGCTCAAACACATTGTACGTGATTTCTAAACTGTTGACCAATCACAACAGAGCCGGCCAGCTAACCAATCAGAGCAGACTGGGCTCTGGTTTCAGACAGAGGGTGAAAAAGAGGTGTTGCAGCACATGAGAAGAATAAATAGCTTTTTGAACATTAAAGCATGGAGACATGTCACAGTAGAGACACTACATACTGATATACACCTGAACATCAGCAGGAGAGGACTCTTTAAAGTAGAGACACTACATACTGATATACACCTGAACATCAGCAGGAGAGGACTCTTTAAAGTAGAGACACTACATACTGATATACACCTGAACATCAGCAGGAGAGAACTCTTTAAAGTAGAGACACTACTGATATACACCTGAACATCAGCAGGAGAGGACTCTTTAAAGTAGAGACACTACCTCCTGATATACACCTGAACATCAGCAGGAGAGGACTCTTTAAAGTAGACACTACATACTGATATACACCTGAACATCAGCAGGAGAGCACTCTTTAAAGTAGACACTACATACTGATATACACCTGAACATCAGCAGGAGAGCATTACATAAATCATTTTCTCAATATTCGATTGAATCCAACAAAAACACAAAATATCCAATGTTGAAACAAAAGTAAATAAATATGTTTTCATGAAATTCCTAACTTACTATATTGTAAACATCTACAGTTGACAATATCATTAAAAAAAATTAAAATCATAGAAAGTGGAGAAATCTCTGCAGGGAGGACCAAGGTTTAAAACACACACTGTTATTTACTCAATAATAAGTCACAGTTATCCTTGTTTTATTTATGTTGCTGTGTTTTTTTTCCATTGGTCAATTTACAGTAATAAACCTTAATTTTACAGTATAATGTATGGTTTTCGGATTCTGGCCGACAGCCAGAGCTACGGCACTTGAAATAGAATTCAGCCAAAACACGGCAGACAAGTCAGGCATGTTTGGAATGAGTCCACAACACTCCTGATTGGTTAATATAAACGTCATCGAAGAAACCTGCCAATGAGAACTGTCCGCGCCTGTCGTTCAACTTCACATTTGAAACATCCAAGTCAGTTTGAGCGGGTCTCCTCCTACTGGAGCTACAGCGGTCTGTATGTCTGCTACAGGAGTTTATGGATTAATATCGGGATCGTTTTACATCTACACGTTAAATATGAGCATCGGGACGTCAACAAAGAACAGAAGAAGACTTGAGATCTGGTGAGTCCTGCAACTGTAATGGAGTTAAACATGTATTTAGATAATCCTTACTTAGTTTGTGAATTTTTAATTTTTAATTTAAGGTTACGTTTCTTCTTCTAGTTAGCGGAGTTTCTTCCCGTTAAGTTGGTATGCATCATTAATAGGTTGTTAAATGTTAAGAAGCCCTGAGATGCTGTTTCTTGCAAGATGTTGCGCCCGGGAAACCCGGTTTAACATGCGGCTGCTAACGTTAGTTTACAGCTTATTGCAGTGCTGCCCCCTCACCCTCTCGTCTCCAACACGGGAGAATTACACATAAACATGCAGTGGGGTCACAGTGTTGTCGCCAAGTTTAATGTAAAGTTTGACAGCTTTCTTACAGCGGAATCTAGTTTGTTAATGTTCAGTAGCCAACAGCTAGCATAGCATAAACAGCTAACCGCTAACGTTCGGCTAACTTGCTAGTTAGCGCTGCTCTATATATTACACGCTAACATGACTAGCTAATGTCACACTGAACTAAAATACTTTTTGTATTACTACATCATACATGCTTGGTCCAAATCACTGCTAAAATTAATTATTTTTGAAAATGTATAGTAAAGAAACACTCAGCCATGCATGAAATAACATAGCAAAAGAATACAGGTAATGTTTGACCCATGTTGTGCCTTAGAAGTGTAGTGATACAAACATGATTTTTATTCAAAAAGTAAGAAAGGGAAAAATAAAAATTAGAATTGGTGTTGATCCAAAACATGTTAATTGAGGAATACCTGGGATCCTGAATGGTTCAAGTAATTTATTGCAAAGATATTTACAATTAAAACTAATTCGGGTCACTTTTGACACATGTTGGTTGTATGTTGTGTAACAAAGGGTTACCATGACAGCTGTGATGTTCACTCTTTTGACAGAGCACCAGTGGACAGCGAAGACTATGGAAGAGAAGATGTGATGGCTTTGTGTGGAAAGCTGCTGAAGCCAGCCTGTGTCCCTCTCATCAGTCTCTCCAGGCAGCACCCAGCTATTCTTCCATCTTGCAGATGAAAAGACTTTGATATGTGAGTAATAACTAACTTGTGTCAAACATAATATTGAATGTGGTTTAGTAAAGTATTTAAAAATCCCCCACATTGTACTTGTACAGGACAATCAGACCTTGTTCAACAAAGATCATCAGACAATTGTTTTGTCTTTGATTTACAGCCGCAGCAGAGAGTCTGAGTTTGAAGAAAACACTAACATTTTATTTAGTGTTGTTTAATCAATCAATATTTACTGGTCTTGAATTTCCTCACTGGATTACAAAATGCTCGAATCTTATTGTACAGGAACATTATGCAGATTTCATCACCTGAAGATAAAAATATAGATTCAGCGATATGTACCATTTTAAGGAAATAGACTGTTAGTGGTATTTACCAAAGCTCATTTGTTGGTTTTTCTTTTTTATTAAGAATTGACCAAGCATATCTTCCTCTTCGAAATCCCAGTTGTACTTCGCTAACACGCAGTGCCTGGGAGGGTGCGTTTGATTGTTCCCACAATAGTGCGTGCGTGCTCTTGCTTGTGCTTCAAAGGTCCATCATACAAGATGTAGGGGATCTATTGGCAGCTGCTGATAATAACATCCATCATTATGGTTTACTAATAGTTATCACTTCACTTCCTCCTCCAGCACCTGGACACAGCAGGAACCTACGCCAGGATCCTGTTTGTGGACTTCAGCTCTGCCTTCAACACAACCCTCTGGCTGGAGGCTGCGCTCCATCAGGACCAACACCTCTCTCCATCAGGACCAGAACCTCTCTCCATCAGGACCAACACCTCTCTCCATCAGGACCAGAACCTCTCTCCATCAGGACCAGAACCTCTCTCCATCAGGACCAACACCTCTCTCCATCAGGACCAGAACCTCTCTCCATCAGGACCAGAACCTCTCTCCATCAGGACCAACACCTCTCCATCAGGACCAACACCTCTCTCCATTAGGACCAGAACCTCTCTCCATCAGGACCAGAACCTCTCTCCATCAGGACCAACACCTCTCCATCAGGACCAACACCTCTCTCCATCAGGAACCAAGAACCTCTCTCCATCAGGACCAGAACCTCTCTCCATCAGGACCAACACCTCTCCATCAGGACCAACACCTCTCTCCATCAGGACCAGAACCTCTCTCCATCAGGACCAGAACCTCTCTCCATCAGGACCAACACCTCTCTCCATCAGGACCAGAACCTCTCTCCATCAGGACCAACACCTCTCCATCAGGACCAACACCTCTCTCCATCAGGACCAGAACCTCTCTCTATCAGGACCAGAACCTCTCTCCATCAGGACCAAAACCTCTCTCCATCAGGACCAGAACCTCTCTCCATCAGGACCAACACCTCTCTCCATCAGGACCAAAACCTCTCTCCATCAGGACCAACACCTCTCTCCATCAGGACCAGAACCTCTCTCCATCAGGACCAACACCTCTCTCCATCAGGACCAAAACCTCTCTCCATCAGGACCAAAACCTCTCTCCATCAGGACCAACACCTCTCTCCATCAGGACCAGAACCTCTCTCCATCAGGACCAACACCTCTCTCCATCAGGACCAGAACCTCTCTCCATCAGGACCAACACCTCTCTCCATCAGGACCAAAACCTCTCGCCACCTCAACAAGGCCCGCCCCCCCCCCACTGACACTTTACCTCAGCCACAACGCAGACTCTATGCATTACATAATGGAGATCACAGGATGGTAAATAATGCAATGTTTAAATATTGCTTACTGCACATATTTTATATTCTATAATTTATTGCATTCTATTTCGATGTAAGTTACTGCTTTATTTTATTTCTATCTTACTATATTTTTATTACAGTGTTCTTAATATTGTTCGCTATTTGTGTACTTTTTAAAATTTAAAAATTTGTATGTACGACACCTAGTCAAATTCCTCGTACGTGTGAACCTACCTGTCTATAAACCCGTTTCTGATTCTGATCTGTTTGTCCTCTAGGTTGCACTGCCACGTCTACAGTAGCGCAGAATGGACAGAGGAAACATGATTGGGCCTCAAGTTTTTTGCAGCCAATATTCATTATCCTACAAACTTGGGATAGGAGGGTGAGTGAACAAGTTATCCATTGGTTGGAACCTACAATGTTAGACGTACTAAATCCTGCTCACTGCTCCTTCACATTGACAATGTGAACATGTCGCCATTTTGCAATTTCTGTTATTTTCAGTTGAGAATGTTTCAAAGTAATCTTAAAAAATTCAACTTACTTTTTGTTTCTACTGTTTATAAGTATGATGTTTAAATATGAAATGCTGTATTCATTAGTTGTACTATAATTCTACAAATATTTTTATATTTTAAGTTTTCAGAGTAATTGTTTCCTACAGAACATTTTGTGATGTCATTTTGTTGAACCTGTTTGATTGGAAAATGTTAGAAAAAAGCTGTAAGATAACAGTATTCTAGCTGTAGAACTTTAGGTTCTGTATTTATTTTAGTGTTTGATCATACAAATCTAATTTTAAAAAAAAAAACAGTTTTTCTCATCAGAACTTTATTTAAGGTATTTTAATGTAACATTTTAAGACAATGGATTTTGAAAAGAGAGGAAATTTTCCTCTAAAATCTTTAAGGACAATTTCTGTATACTAATTGCTTTTGCACTTTATTTCAGTTAATGTATTTTTACTTTCACCTTTTTTCTGGCCCCATAAAATCGTGGTTCTAGGGCCAGGAACAACCAGGCTGAGTCGGGCTGAGTATGCTAAACTAGAGAGATAATCGCTGGCAAGGCGGCTACAACTACAACAAGTGATTTAATTGTAATACACGTTTCAAAATGATGCCGAAGTAACAACATACTGATACCGGTTAGTAAAAACCATGAATTAATGCTTTGACAAGTCTGAAGACAGACGGCAGGCGAAAAACCCTTTTAAAATGCGTGTTTTCTAAATGTAGCTTGGCTAAGCTAACGTTATATATGCTCCGACCGTCCACACTCACAACAACGGCCTATACAGACATACATAAACCAGCGACTGTATTCGCCATGACACAGGCAGTCTGTGGTTTGTACTTGTTTAACTTTTGTCTAGTTTCTGAACAGATATGAGGAGCTGTGAGCTCTGAGTGCTAAGAGCTAACGGCTGTGTTGTTTTTCTGGGGCTCTCATTGAAGATGACGTCACGGCTCCGCCTACACTGCGTTACTATAGTAACTGCCCCAGTTCCTAAACTGTATTGGAAGCGCAGCATAAAGTGAGCCGGGCCTAATAAGGCCTAACCAAACCGAGCGAGGCCTGCAGTGGAAACGCGCCATCAGTGCTGTATTTTTATTAAAATGTTATTGACTGTAAAAAGAGAGGATAAATCTGTAAAATTATAGTGTTTTCCTGTAAAATCTTTAAGGACAATTCCCGTAAATTAATGGCTTATTCACTTTATTTCAGTTAAAGTATTTTACTTTAATTTAAGGGTTTTTGTTTGGCAGCCGCTGCTGCCAGTACTTTGACCGTTTTTTGACGAGTTTTTTTTTTACAGTGTACATACTGATATACACCTGAACATCAGCTGAATAGCGCCCCTTTAATGAAGATGCATCACATACATTGAGTCTTATCTTCATTCTATTTCTCTGTTGCTGACGTCAATATTTTAAAATATCTTTAAAAAGGAGAGAATATCGGATACTGGAATTAAAATATAGTGCTTTCATTTTACTTTCTGTTTTTTTACAATTGCCTTCAAGACGTTTTTTTTTTTTTGTGTAATTTAACTATTCTGCACCATCATCTCCATGGAGCACAGTTACCCTGCAGTTATTAAGCAGATTAATAAAAGGCCTAGTAATTAGTCACACTGGCACATTTTCCTTTTTCATACTCCCTTATTTAATTACTCTCTCCGTCGTCACTTATAGTAGTGCCGTTGTTCCTTCATTTCCTCTTCTATACACGACTTCCCCTCTCGGCTAATTTGTCTATTTTGCCATTACATCTTTCTCTTTTCCCATTTGACCCCAATCCAATCCAACTTTATTTATATAGCACTTTCAAACTTTCAGACCAAAGTGCTGTACAGAGAGATAAGCTCACTAAACATAAAATAAATACATTTAAAATAAAATATACAAACACAAAACAAACCAGAATAAACGTAATATTTAAAAAATAAAAACAATAAACCACTGAAAGCAAATAAAAGCAACAATCTACTTGTTTACGAATGCTAAGGAGAAGAGGTGGGTTTTAAGACGGGATTCACCCCCACACCTCCACCCCACGGACTCCGTCTTCCTGCGACGGAGGCTTCAGATCTCATTAGTACTCAGACGTGTCACATTCTCACCCTTCTGTCACGGCGGAGGAGGTGACACATGACTTCCAGACCTGCAGCGAGGAACCGTTCAGTCATTACTGTAACAGGACGAAGCAATCAGGACTGTAATGTCATCTTAACCTCTTGAATTAAAACGTAAGCTCTTATATGAAAGCCAGTACCATTTAACTGATCATGTTCTGATGAATAAATGTCCTTTTTTAATGTAATCATGACAAATTGGTCAAGTTTTTTTTTTTACTGTAACAAAACTATTAACACCTTCATTTTTTCAGCCTGATGGATGGATTTAATTTGCTTTAATTGTATTCATTTTTATCTAATTTCAATCCCCCACATGAAATGAATTTCCTGTTTGTGGGTCTCATACAGTCTATGGTCTCATCTAATAAAACAAGATGTTTGAGTTAACCCTCCGGTCGCCCCACACACACACACACACACACACACACACACACACACACACACACACACACACACACACACACACACACACACACACACACACACACACACACACACACACACACACATTGTTTGTACCCCTCTTGCTTGAGGATAAAGAGATAATGCAACAGGAATGAGTTATTGCAACCGCCAGAGGAGGGTGCTGTTTACCTCAGCGGTCACACCGTTATACATATACACACACACACACACACACACACACACACACACACACACACACACACACACACACACACACACACACACACACACACACACACCACACACACACACACACACACACACACACACACACACACCACACACACACACACACACACACACACACACACACACACACACACAGCGCAACTCAAGAATTAAACACAGACTAACATAACTATAATGACTTTTAAGTTAACCATTTTAGATCCCCTTCTCATTTAAGGTCCTTTACTGATTCCATTGGGACGAGCTCCATACACGCACACACGTACACACGTGTGTGCAGGTGTCTCACCTGTCATACTCATAGACTGGCCATACTACAATGTAACGGAAAAACAACTAAAGAAAAACGAAATAGTAATGATAATAAAATGTCTCCACTGATCTGTGTTGTAAGTGTGATTCCTGTATGATTCCAATCGCTTTTTATAGTCAAAATCAGCAAATTTGCCGAGCTCCGCTACAACTACATGATGGGAGCGATGAGGAGTGAGGCAGGGACGAGCTCTGCCTCTCGTAAGCCCACAGTAACTTGCTGGAGCGCGGGCACTAATTTAGCGCGGGCACTTACTTTGTGAGCGCGCTCAAGCCAGTTACTGTGTGGTGAGGTGAGGCACAGATGAGCTCTGCCTCACCTCAGAATGCGTCACCCCACAGAAACTGTCTGGAAAGCGGGCCCTAAGCGCATGCCTGCACCATCTCACTGTATGTCACCAATGTAATGTTTGTAGATCCCTTTATTACATTTATCCTCGCCATCCATAGTCTCTAAATAACTTATTTCACGTATATATGATATTTAGGCTCGCCGGTCTCATCATACAACGGCAATGAAAAAAGCACCAGGGGAGGCAGCCATAACCTCTGCCGCACTGAAGGGGGCGCACGTGAGCCCACAGGTCCTTGTTGCTACTGTTATTCTACGCAGAGACGGTAACAACAAACTAGACTTTTGAAACTCGAGGAAGATAAGGAGGACTTTTACAAAAAAGTAATAGAGATTGTTGTCCAGAAGGATAGCATGGACTTCATCTTCAAGTCAAGGTAAGACCACATTGGTAATGAAAATTGGTTCTTACTAAGAAAGAACAATCCAATATTTAGATTTGGGGTATCCTTTTGTTGAACGGTCTGTTGAAAATGAATCGAAACATCAGACCAAAAAAGCTTTTGAAAATATCAGAATATTTCGATTAAGGTCAGAATATAATATTTGTAAATCTGACTCTGAAAGAGTCGGTGCCTCACCAGCCATGAACCTCACCGCACGTCACTGGTGTACACACACACACACACACACGTTCTCACTCCCATCCCATCACATATTGACGGACGGTCAGGGCCCCTCCCCGTCGCTATATTACGTACAGGGTACCCCTTGACCGTCAGGCTTCTACGGGCAGGGCGTCCCATAGACCTTCATAGACCACGTGATCAACAACAATGGCCGACCTTCGTGTTATTCTCGGTGGAAAATGCCTATTTTAAGGTTCATTTGGCCATTCAAATGCGTTTTGATGTCATTTTATGCGAGTAATGAGTTTTTATTTCTGATTATTTGTGCAGTACATGTACATGATGTTTAGTTTGCTAGTTATGACGAAGATTACTTCATGAATGTGTACACATTCATGGTTGCTAACGTTTTTTTTGGTGGAAATGTGTTTTTTCACAGCAAAGTCACCCTCTGTACTTGGACTTATTGGGAGAATCTAAAGGCAAGAACATCCCAAATATTCATTTAGGTCTTTATTTTAGACCTTTAGTGTTGCCGTCTGTGAGGAAAATAAATGGGGCTCAGAGCCTCGTATTTTTAAAATCTTTTTTTCCTTCTAATTTGTTATTCTTTTCAAAATAGCACACTGTTATTTACTCACCAATAACACACAATTATCCTTGCTTTTATTTATTGGTTTAATTCCATAATCTCTGGCTTTTTTGGCGTTCGTCAGGAACTGACACACACACACACACACACACACACACACACACACACACACACACACACACACACACACACACACACACACACACACACACACACACACACACACACACACACACAGCCTTTAAATAGTGGGGCCCTGAGCTGTCACATAATGTCAGTCAGAGTTCAGTTTCAAACCTCTATAAAGGTATTCTGATTCTGATTCTCGTGGTGATGAATAAAGTAAAAGGAGTGTATTTCTATCTCCGTGTCAAGTCTCTTCCACTCTCTGTCAGCATGCACTCTCACAGGTCTTTGAAACATGTGAAACCCTGCTGCTGTCTGCCACTCCGGCCTGCTGTTTGTCACAAATGTTTCATACAGAGTTGTGTAACCTGAAGCCTTTCAGGCAGCTGAGATAGGAGAAATCATTTCTGTAGGAAAAGACAGCACAAAGTAAGCCATCGTTATATATCATTTGATATTGTACAATATACTGCACTATTAAATCATTTGGTGCAGTTTTGTTGAATAGATCTTAATCATGTTTCCATTGCTTTGTCAAATCACCTTATTCAACACTGCCATTTGTTTATATCCACTATCTTTTTCTTCTTTTCACGTAATGTTTTTCTATAAGGAAATGCTATAAACAGATACAGCTGATTTTTTTAGGATAACTTCTAGAAGTTGTAATAACATTTGCGGGGGTTGAAGTTTGCATTTTGGGTTCATAGCTTTAGTTTGTATTGTATGACACACCAGTCGTTTCAGGTATACGGGCTAGTTTAGCTTTGACGCTATTATGATGATATATATTTTTTGATCCTGGGTGCATTTTTCTTATGGTTGGTTAAGCTTTCAAATTCTTTCATTTTAAAGGCTGTGAGTAGATGAGATAACATCTAAATAGTCTTTGCAAAGATGAGGCATAGAGTACAACAACAAAAAACGACTGCTACCATAATTGCATCATGGGAAATGTAGTATAATTCTCAGTTTTTGAACTTTGTAAAGTCACTTTAAGGTCACATCAATGCACACATGATTAACTTTGTAATCCAAAACTTTGACAGACACAAACGAGGAGATACATATTTATATATATACCTCACACAATCATAATACTCTAATAAAGACCCTCAACCAATGCCCAGATCCCACCACTCCCTCACTGGCATTTAAATAAGCCAACACCCTTTCAGACCCAGCATGCGGGCCGATCATATTACACCCCGTTATTAATAGCCCCCCACTCCCCTTTCTCATTGTAAACTAATAGCTGACATGATCTCACACTGTCTGCGTCTCCGTGCTCACATCAATCTTTCTCTCCCACCCCGGGTTTCTATCTCTCTTTTCTCCGCTCAGATCAGGTCTACCAAAATATGCTCCACATGCACAACCTGACGTGTGCAGAATCATGACATACATGACATGTGTCTCATCTGTTTCACATGACACGGGGTTTGACGTCTTTCTTCAATCTAACACAGAATTAATCTTGACTGTTTGAATCAATGAGGCCAGAAATGAGTGCATCTGAAATATAATATATATCTTTACCGGTTCATATCATTCAGGAAAATTCTCAAGTACATTTCCAAAAGTTGCTAAAAAAATATTACAAAGTAAATTTGAACTGTGCCTGTGGCTATGTATGCGTATACTATTATGTACACTTATTTGTATTTACTTGTGTTTGGCCTTAGGATGGCGATAATTGGATGACCATTTTAGTTTTCACTTCATTTCACTGTAAATTGCATGAAATTATGAGCTATTTTGTTGTATGTATGTTTTGAGTGTGTGAGGACCCCAGGAAGAATAGCCAATGCTCATGCTAGTGCTAATGGGGATCCTAATAAAGACATAGACATATAATAATGTAGTGACAGCATTGTGCCACTGGTTTTTATGATGATTTAAACACTGTTTATTATTGGCAGGCCAACAGCCAAGTACAGCCCACTCGACATTAATTTATTTTCCAAAAAATGATTGCAATTGTACCAAAATGCCTGACTTTCTTTTAACTACAAATTATTTATTTTTGATGAGGTGCATTGCATCGGGCGCATTTTACAAGCATTTAAGGGCAATCTTGTTGTAACTATTGGATTTATTTATAATTATGTGTTACAGAGTCAAAATAGAATCATGGTACATTAAAGTAGACAGATGTTTATAAAAACACAATAATTACAAAAAGTAAAATTTTAGACGTGCTATGTTTTGGGGCGGGTCCTGATTTGTTGTCGTCTGTCTTTGGTTTGTTTAAAACCAAGTTGATTAAATACTATCAGGGTTTTAGCTTAGCTCTAACCATGTATATATTTTGGCTTAAGAAGACCTTGCTAAAACTGATAAACAACGCTTAACATAATAAAACACATGGAAAATAAGCTGTTAAAGCTATTCAATTACACTGGGCCTTAAACAAGACACACATCCTGCCTCTATTTTCTTTAGCTGCACAAACAAGTGTTTTCATGACTGTCTCCATGTCTCTCCGTCCATCTGTGCCCACAGAGCACATCTACCCTCTGACCCTCTGCCTGGACGCCATCTTGTCCCCGGTGCTCTCGCCGAGGCCTTATTTTTAGCGAGAGCCATGCTCCTAATGCAAATCTTAATATGGGAATGGCATCTTGGAGCTCTTCTTTCCTCAAGCTCCCGTCGTACATCCATCGATACCTTCAGTCCTCCAAGACACTGAGCTGGTATCTGTAGCTCTCCAAACACCCGACACAACCGCCGCCCCTTTTCAGAGCCACCGCTTCAAAACAGGTGGCCGTGTGACCTAAGCTCGCTCCTCCCTTGGTACCACCCATGCTATTTTCCCGACTACTGCTTAGTAGTCACCCCGTTACCCCCCCGCCCCCCCCCCACCGCTCTGACTGTCTGTCCTACTTTTTTTGGCAGCCCTTCATGCTTGTGTGCTCTTGCACGAGTGGTGATCAGGGTCTCGCCTACTCGCATAACAATTTGTGTGCCCCGAAAAAGAGCCCCTCCCCACTTCTTAGGCCAGAGGCGTCAGCAAAACCACGTGAAGCTCTTTTTTAAAGGGGGGGTCTCACTGTCGGACCCGCTCTTCTCTCGCCGGTGGGGAAAGGAAGCGGACATTGTTCCTAACTCTCCCTGTTTGACACCAACTTACCTTAGGGACAACGTTAAACCTCTAAAGTTGACTTTTCCCCGTCTACTTAAGGCTCTGAGAAGAGGCGTTTTTCGCGATAGCCATGAAGTGGGGCTGGGTGTTTTTGGGGGTCTTCCTATCTTTGGGGACCCTGTCCTGGGGGGAGAAGGGCTTGGAGATCCCCGAGTACGATGGAAAAGACCGTGTCCACGACCTCAGCGTCAGAAACTACAAGTCCGTCATGAAGAAATACGATGTGATGGTGATCTACTACCACAAAAACGTGGATGGGAACCGCCTTGCCATGAAGCAGTTCCAGATTGAGGAGCTGGCTCTGGAGGTGGGTCTCCGCCAAAGCATGACAGTGGATGGATTTGTGGCCCAGGTGGGGGAAGGGTCACAGTATGGAAGATAGGAAGGAAGGGAAGGGTTTCACATGGAGAATTTGGCTCCAGTCAGGGAATCCTTTGGCACTTCTGATAGGTGGGTTCACAGCTGTTGACAGGTGAGAAGAAATACAAACATAACAAGTGGAAGGAGGTAGATTGGAGAAGGTGGGAACTGGAGACACAGGATGGGCGAATTGACTGGTGATGGCCAATAAAATGGCCGAGCTCAGAGTCTTCCGCATAGTTTTATCAAAACCTCAAGACAAACCTGTTAAATAATGTTGCTTACAGCATTTAAGTCTATCTATTGTGCAAGTTGTTCATCTCCAAGCCAATCACTGCCAACCAAAGTCTCTAAGCATGACTGTATTTCTGGGATAGGTTACCTACTTTACATTGGTTAAAAATATACATCCATATTTACTGTAAATGGGAATCATCAACGTTTGCTGTATGGGTACAATTGGATCAAGGCGTGTCACTTCTGGATGACCTTCAATCAACAAACTATTGTTTAATAAAATATATAATCCCACATTTGTCACATCACTAATCATACCTTGTAACACCTTTAAAATGAGCAAAAGGCCAGAGCAGTCTTCAATATGTTGTACTTCTTTAGTAGTTGTTTGTAGATTATATTTGCCGATATTGTGGGTCGTATTAAAGCAAGTTAATTAGAGACTGTATTATAAGGGGGTTGTGACCAGTTTCTCTGTCACACTTGGGCAAGTTAATGGCAAGTGTTTTTACTTTGAAGTTGCTCAAGTGGTAATCTAAAGAGTTTGCACGTCCTGAGAACTCTAATTAGATAAATAAATCGGACTCATTACCCTCGATGCACCTGGGCCGCACTGTCAGCCACTGTATTCACCACAGCAATCCTGTGCCTGTCAGAGCAGCAGTGTCTTCTTTCAGAGGCGCAGTGTACCTTACACTAGCCCACATAAGTCACCTCTGTAAATAGCCCAGGACAGCTCTGCATGCTTAGCAAGATGCTAAAAGCCCTCCTGGGATGGACACAGAGTTTAAGGCCATTTATCACCTCAACTACTGCTGCCATTGCCCCGTCAGCTCTCTCAGGCAACACGCCCTCTTCAGTCCGGTATTACGACACACTCATTTGGGTGCAGGCTAGTGTCCTAAACCATCATTTACACACACAGGTCATTGGATCTGATCAATTTCCTGTCTGTGCAGCCAAGTTGGGTGTCTTGGCTTGAGAAAGAGATGCATACTAGAGTAGGTCCCTGATGGACGGTTACTGACTTCCTGACAGTTTTGAGCACACACAGCCAATCAGGAAATATTGCAAGAGGTGCTAAGAGGGCACGCTCAAAATAGCTGGTCATTAACACAGATGAATCAGGAAGTATGGATTATTAAAGTGCAGCACTCTCGGAATTAAATCATATCTGCTTTTGTTTGGAGCGTGGCCCTTACATGTATGACGTCTTTCTACTTTAAAACCCCATACTGAGTATATGTCTTGCTAAAGAGGACGACTTGAAGTTATTCTGCCTGTGGCTATTTCCTTGGGTTATAACTCATACTGCCAGACACACAGTAAAGTAAATGGTCTGTCCGCAGCTTCCTCTTTGATATTATTAGAGAGGATAAATCGTTGAGGCAGGCGCTGCAACAAGTAGACGGTTTCATTTCCCTGCACTTTCCAGTAGTGCAATATTTTATAGGAGACGGCACAAAGGATTACAATGTTTTAAATCCTTCAGATAAGAAAACTCACACACGATGTATAAAAGCATTGAGTAAATGTGTGTAACTGGCAGAGATGTCTAGCTCCATTACAGGAAGACAAAACTGTTTAGCTCACAAAAACATCACACACTTACTTAGACAGATTTAAACTGCTGTCAAGCTTGACTTCATGGAAATATGATGCCTGCAGAAACATGCTCAGTTTATGATACTACTGTGTGAATGATTAGTGTGTATTTGTGGTTCTAGCAATAACAGAGTTAAAATGAAGACAGGACAGAAGTAGACAGCCAAAACAGGTAGAAAAATGTCAAACTCAAAATGCTTGTGTGTTGAAAAGAGACACCCTGTCACGACCAAAATATGTCACCTTTGACCCCAGCTGGTAAATATCTTAGTCTGTGAAAAACAATCTAGTGTAGCCTCATAGCTGCGATAGGCTAACGCAAGGTCAACTTTAGACTCCCTTGAAAGGTGTGGCAATATATTTTAATACAAATAAACCACTGATGGTGAGAAACTTGAATGAATTGGCCACTTTGCGTACACTTTTTACAGAAGACATTGCCAAAGCAGGAAAACACAGGTTAAATGATGATGGCTGTATTCCATTCTTTCACACAGTGACGTCACGAGCTACCCACAATGCAACACGCGCCATATAAATATATATAAATGCGCCATTTTCCTGGAGGTGCTAATATCCTGGAGGTGCTAATATAAACAGCTAGGTAACGTAGCCAGGCAGAGCGCACTAGGTTTTTTTTCTGAATTAACGACCGAAGAAATCGCTGCATGTCTTCGGATTACATCTCTGGACTTGAGGGGTGTGCTCTAGGTCGTTACCAGCGTAAACTAGAGCTGTGTGGGTTGTTACAGACTGCCTGCAGATATATGGAAAAACGACAGTTGCCTTCGTCGATTTTGGCTGCATCTACGTCTAATTTCTGGAAACACCAGGTGAATACCCCACTTGTCACAATAATATTATCATGCCAATGCATATATGTGGTATTTTAGAGTTGACTAGATATTGATTAAGGCAATAGACTATGATATTCAGTACAGGAAGCTTAGCAACACCTAGACGGTGTACGGCTGCTTGCACCTCGCGTAAAACCGCACAGACCGGAAGTACGGTGTCGCGCTCGGCCCAATACCCGTATGTGTGTGTGAAAGAATTTATGTGAGCCTGTTTAATGGCATGGTTTGTGAATGCTAATTTCATAACATGGCTTACTCAGACACTAAATGGTATGGAGCCATCGTTAATGAGATATTAACACCTGTGCTTTTTCTGATTTGACAGGCCGAAACTTCTATTTTGAATAAACAACCGCCTTCTTTTGTGTAGCTTCACCAAAATGGACCAATAGCTACAAATGGCGTAAATGTACTGAAGTCTGTGGACACTACAGCCAGTGCAATACTTATTATATAGCCACAACAAATAGCCTTATTATAGAGTAAACAAAAGCCTATAGTCTGAACTCCACATTAGATACAGCCACAAACACATATTACAGGATGAAACTTTGCAGAGTTTCTGTAAACAAAGCATACACACACTACAATTTACAGTTATTTAAGGAGTGTGTAGTTGTACTCACCTATATGAACGCAATTCTAGTTAACAGCAAATCCTCCAAAATAAGCCTCTCTGTCCCAGTATAACCAGTCCTCGGCTCGTAGTCTTTAGCAGCATTGTTAACCTCTCAGTGTTGTAAAACAGTGGAAAAGTCTCAATAAATATAGAAGTTCCTCAAGGTAGAAAGCACCTGGAACATCCCCTATTAGCATATTAGCAATTAGCATATCCAGCGTACACCTTGTCAGTGACGTAACAAAGTGGGTGCGTTTGTTTTGGGTCACTTAGCGTGATTGACGGGTGGTGCAATTAACCAGTTGTTTCTTTAGGGGCAGTGGTGGGAGAAGTACTCAGATCTTGTACTTAAGTAAAAGTAAAAGTACCAGAGTGTAGGAATACATAAGTCCTTCATTCAAAAATGTTACTCAAGTAAAAGTACTAAAGTATCATCATCAAAATATACTTAAATTACCAAAAGTTACACATTTTCCAGTATGAAGTAAGAATAAAGTAGCATAACAGAGAAATACTCAAGTGAAGTACTTTAAAATGAAGTATACTTGAGTAAATGTACTTAGTTACATTCCACCATTGATTTTAAATAAATCTTACACAGTTCAAATGACTTTTTCATAATATTAGCTCAGCTGGGCAAGAAGATATGAAGTTTTAAAGAACTTAGAAGGAAGTTAGAATAGAGGTTCTGTGTTTGGCGTTAATATCTCAGAGAGTAATTATAAATAAGGTGTCAAATATTCAGTCTGTGCATAATCCAAATCTTATAAAGTCATCCAAAGAAATTATAAAAAATTAACAGGCACGCTGCAAAATTAAAAACCATGCGCCAGAAGGCTGTGAATAAAAGAACGAGCGCTAAAAGCTAAACGCATTACTATTATTACATTTGCAATATAAGGAATGTCTATCCTCGTATAATTGTGTGAATGCTGGTACTTAATATGTTTGTGACCCGTCTGCTGGCTGTATATTTATATTAGTTTTCTGTCTCTCAGTTTAAACTCTGACCTTTGACATACAGCATACTGTAAATGCCCGTACTCATCAATCACTGCACTCCTCACGGCTCAGATTGCAGGGATCTTTTACCTGTCATCCTCTCTACCAACACACACACACACACACACACACATTTTTTCACCCATTTTTCTCCTCGGGTGGTAAACATTATGTTAATAGCTGAGTAAGGTGACACAGGTGCTCACAATGCAAGTCAACACGCAGTCCCATAATGTGCAGGGGATCTTTTAGAAGGGGGCTTTGTCTTTTCTAATATGTACAGAGAGATCTGGGGAAAGGTCAGACTGTTGCTATGGAAACCGTTATCCAAATTGACTGTGTCTTTTTCTGCGACACAATATGTTTCATGTTCACATTTTTAATGGTGCTGGATGGCATAGATAGAAAGAGGGAGGTAATGTTTAATGTTCCTAGTGAGTCACTTTAATGTCTCTATGCTATGGCCACTGTTTGATTGTCTTCCAACAAAATACAAGCCGAAGATGTGTTTAATTTAATCAAATGTAAAGTCAAGTTCTACAACAATTTCGTTTTTCAAAATAAGATGTAGATCTGTGAAAAAAGAACGTTCAGCTTATAGTTCAAGTTATGTATCTGAAAAGACTG